AATTAGCCAAGTGTGGTGGCATATGCCTGTGGTCCTAGCTACCCTGGGAGCTGAAGCAGGAGCATCACTTGAGCCAGCAGGCTGAGGCTGCAGTGAGCTGTCATTGCACCACTGCACTCCAGCCTGGGTGACAGGGCAAGATCCTGTCTCAAAAAAAAAAAAACAAAAAACAAAAAAAAAATCTCATAATGAAGGCAGGCGTGGTGGCTTACGCCTGTAATACCAGCACTGTGGGAGTCTGAGGCAGGAGTATCACTTGAGCCCAGGAGGTTGAGATCAGTCTGGGCAATATAGTGAGACCTCCATCTCTTACTCCCAAAAAATTAGCCAGGTGTGGCACCTGTAGTCCCAACTACTCAAGTGGCTGAGGCAGGACGGTTGCTTGAGCCCAGCAGTTCGAGGCTACAGTGAGCTATGATTGTGTCACTGCACTCCAGACTGGGTGACAGAGTGAAACCCTGACACACACACACACACACACACACACACACACACCCCTCATAATGAGAGAGAAGAGAAGGGGAGCATGGGAGAAGTGATAAGAGGATCCTAGGTCCATATTTGTGGTCGATGCCTCGCACCCATCAGAACTCTCACGTTGAAGGTCTTCTTGTGAACAGCCAACTTCTAGGCTGGTGGCTCCAAGGAGGTGGCCCATTCCCTTCCATCATCCAGTAGGTGGTGTTACTACCACTGAGGTGGTAGCAGAGGAGGGAGCTGTGGACAGGGTGGGGAAGGCAGCTGCCCCAGGATAAGCAGTTAAGAGCTTTGGGGAATCACTAACTGTGAAGACCTAGTCTCTCCCCGGGTAGAAAGACACTGTGAACTGTGAACTTTTTCCTATTTGGAAAAGTTCTCCTAGGGAAGTGAAAAAAGACTTTGGGGTTCATTTGAACCATTTCAAATATGTCCAGTGCTTGCTTCAATCCAAAGTTGGTCATGTGGGTAGGGAAATAGACCTTGGATATCACTCTGGCAAAAAGCTTCTAGTCTGTCTTCAAGGGCATAAAGATTTATTGCTTTAGGTTTCACAGTTCCATCCATGATCCACCTGGAATTGATTTTTGTGTATGGTGTGAGGTAGAGGTCAAATGCAATTTTTGCATATGACTATCCAATTAACCCAACACCATTTTCTTTTTTGAGAGATGGGGGTCTCACTTGTTGCCCAGGCTGGCCTCAAACCCCTGGGCTCAAGCAATCCTCCTGCCTCAGCCTCAGCCTCCCAAGTAGCTGCCTGGGCTCTAACATCTTTTTTTTTTTGAGATGGAATCTCGCTCTGTCACCCAGGCTGGAGTGCAGTGGCATGATCTTGGCTCACTGCAAGCTCCGCCTCCCAGGTTCACACCATTCTCCCACCTCAGTCTCCCAAGTAGCTGGGACTACAGGCGCCCGCCACCATGCCCGGCTAATTTTTTGTATTTTTTTAGTAGAGACGGGGTTTCACCGTGTTAGCCAGGATACTCTCGATCTCCTGACCTTGTGATCCACCTGCCTCGGCCTCCCAAAGTGTTGGGATTACAGGCGTGAGCCACCACGCCCGGCCTAAGATCATATTTTTTAAAAAGACCATCCTTTCCATACTGCACAGCAATTTCCATTTCTCTAGGGGATTTTTCTTTTTGGAAGAAGTTAAAAGTCTCTACCAATATGGGCAGGGGGCAGGGAGAATGATATTTTGCAGAATAGTCAGCAGAGGGCTGGTGAAAGCTGCTGCCTGGCTTCTCTTGAGCCAATGAGACCTGTCTATAGCAGGTCCTGTCTGAGCCAAAATGTAGCCCCAGAAGCTCTCTGGTCCCTAGGGTCAGATGCAAAATGCAGCAGCCTGGTTCTGCTAGAAAACATTTGTAAGAGGAAAGCAGAGGACTTAGTGGAGATGCACTCTCTCCGAAGGGTGAGCAGTCAAGGGTCTGATGCCCATTCTACTCCCACCCCCATTAGAAGCCTGGGGGTGGGCTGATGCTGAGAAGGACCCCTTTGTCACCTGGCATCTTGGTACTTCAACTAGAAATAGCCTGGGCAGTTTCTGTCACCTGGTCCCAGGTAGAGGTGGGACCTGCAGATAAAGGAAAAATCCATGCCTACTCCAAACTTACTTTAAGTAGAAAAAAACATCTTCCTCTGGATGACTGTCAGGGACCACCTCCAGGTGTGTGCCCCACCCACATCCCCACATCTTTACCTCCTCTGTGTATACCTGTCTGATTCCAACTGTCAGCTCCTGCTTCTCTTTGTCTGAGTGTTTTCCCTGGCTACTGGGACTGTTTTATCACCTGTGGGGAAGACTGGAGAAGTGCCAGAAAGCTAGTGCTGCCCTCCCACTCCATCCAGAAGCCCTAACCACTGACTGATGAGAATTGGTGTATAACTACCCCAGCTGCCTCGCTCCTCAGGTGCAAAATTCCTGAGGTACGCATTTTATAGCCTCCCAGAGTTTCCAGCTGGGATTAAGCTTCAGAAAAACCCACAGTAGTAGCGTGCTCAGTAGCATCCTGTATTGGGCTTCCTTCTCTCTGCTGCCTCCCTTCCCTGCTCCCCTGACTGGTGCCTTCTGGGATTGCGGCCCAAATAAACCATCTGGACCCACCTCCTGTCCCAAGGTCTGCTGCTGGGGGAACTGAAACAAAGACAACTTCCATTCCAGGCAAATGATCCCACCTTGACCAATATTCACATAGGAATTGGAGCTAAGGTTAGGATTTTCATCACTGGCCTGGGATATCCGGGCTCTGTAGGGATGAATGCCAACGAGTCAATCAATTCTACTTGTGTGCAAGGTCTCAGGACTGAGCTAAACTAAGATCTGGTCATTTGACAGCATTTATTGGGTAGTGGGTCTCCACTACAGATTTATGTAAGCTCAAGGCCAAGTTTCTGCCACTTGGCTTAATGTCATCCTCAGACTGAGGATTGCTGGTGCTACTGAGAAAGGAACCTCTTTGACTACGGAATGTGGGAAGTCCAGAAAGGTGTTCCATTTGCAAGGCCCAGAAGATGCCCCAGTTGCTTTGTAGAAGGTGTCACAGACCCAGACACAGGCCCAGGTTTGCTGGCGGGCCAGTCTTGTACTGACTCATCGTCAGCAGTTTGACTTGCTGATTTATAGACTACAAGAAGGCCTGGTGTGATATTGACTTGGCTAATAGTTTTCATCTCAAGTAACAACTGTGATCAGTAGCTTTGTTGAAAATGATTCTGTGATCATGGTGGTTTTGTGGCATAGCAGAGGCTGTTGGTGTCCTGTCCACATCACCTCGGATTACTGTCCCAGAATTTGCCAACAATATTCTACAACAAAACCTAACTGGTGATTTTTCCTCCATGTAGGTGGGAGGGGCAGGCCAGAAACACTAAAGGGTTAATTTCCTGGAAGCACCCCTCAGCTCACAGATGGAAAAAAAAAATGTTATATTAGTTTGCTTGGGCTACCATAACAAAATACCATGGACTGGGTGGCTTAAACCACAGAATTTTGTTTTCTTACAGTCCTAGAGGCCGTTAAGTCACAGGCCAAGGTGCCAGTTGATTTGGTTCCTGGTGAGGGCTCTCTTCCTGGTTTGCAGACAGCTGCCTTCTCTGTGTCCTTACATGATAGAAAGAGAGCACTCTGGTGTCTCTTACTCTTCTTATAAAAGCACCAATTCTATTGGATCAAGACTCTTACTCTGATGACCTCATCCAGTCTTAATCACCTCCTTAAAGGCTCCATCCTCAATACAGTCATGTGGGAGGTTAATGCCTCAACATATGGATTTTAGGGAGGCACAATCCAGGTCACTGCAAACATGGTGATTAGCTATGTCTGCTGTGGATGAAGGAAAGGGACAGTGTGGACTCAAACGGTGGCTTGAGCAGCATTGTGGGATTGTTAGGGATAGACATCATGTCTCATTTATATCCACCATGGCACCTGACCCATCCTGGGAACCAGAGTGTGACCACTATCCAGTTACCACCTGTGTCCAGTGCAGATTAGAACTTTGCAGGGCCTCAGCTGGGAGGGCCCTGGGCAACAGGAGCTGCTCAGAGCCAAATAAAGCAGGGCGTGAGTTTTGGTGCTCTGAGCTGGAGGCCACGCAAGCACTGAGAATGGGGCAGGATGACCAGAAAGCAGCATGACCTCTTGCCCTGTGTCCAGGAGAGATGAATCCCAGGTGCTGGCCAAGAACACCAGAGAAAGAAGTGGAGGCCTCTGAAACACAAGAGCAGCCCATCTGCCCTGGCAAGTGTGCCTGTCCAGAAGGTTGCATTTGCAGGTCATGGACGCATGGGTTGAGAGGGCCAGGGTGTCCAGAGGCCAGAGCCCAGGAGCATGGCCAGGAAGAGAAAGAGGAAAGCCTGAGGCCTGGGGCTAGACACGGGGATCACTGGATCATGGGTCAAAAAAGTGGCTTTCAGGGTCAGACAACCAGCCAATCATCCAGGGGACATATCTCAGGGGACAACTGGGACTCATCCTAGAGGGGTGGGTGGTGGAGTGAATGGGCATAGGAATCTTGCCTCCTTACCCTCCTTCCACCCAAACTCTGAGGCAGGTGAGCCATAAGGTGCCTAGGCCTGGGGGTGGTGGGGTGGGATGGGGTTGGGGTGTGGCTCAGATAAACAGCCCTGGAAACCACAAGCTGCCCCACCCAGCCCAGGCATGGCCCTGCAGCCTCTGTGTTGGATTGGATCTAATTTCTGAGCCTCTGTACATCTGGGTCAAATTTGGTTTGGTCTGTCCTGGTTCTCAGCAATGTCTGGACAACCACCACTTTGGTCCTGACCAGAGAGTTGGGCAACTGAGTCCTCAGTGGCCCTATTATGCTCCCAGGCAGAGCTCAGGCCTGCTAGCGTGCTCCCCCTCTCCCAACAGTCCCTAAGAACAGACATGGGGCAGGGAATACTTGCTTAGTCAAACTCTGGGGCTGTTTAAAAAGCCCAAGGCGCAAGAGGGCTCCCCCGGGGCAGGGTTTGGAGCTGCCCCTAGAGCTGCTGAATGGCTGCTGAGAAAAGCAAACTCACACCAAGGAGGCAGGTGAGAGGCCGGGCGGGCGCCACCTGCATCTGGTTTATTGTTCTGTTTTCTCCAAACTTAGCAGAGCAGAATGTGAGGCCACCTGGGGGGCAGCTGGGCCCACTGCATGGGGCCAGCCAGAGTCATTGTGAGTGTGTGGGCCAGAATCCATGAGACATCCAAATACAGGAGGCCTGGCACCCCGTCTTCTGCCTCCTCCATGCCCAAAGCCCCCACAGGGAGGCATGATGCGGCAAGCATGAGAGTGCAGGTCTCAAAGGAAGTGGGGGCAGCTGCGGGGCGAAGCAGCTGTTGGAAGCTCCATGGGAGCCTGGGCAGGCCTCCCCAGGCTTCGGGGCGCCGCCCTTTCGCTGCACAGAAGTTGGGATGTTGGGCCAGTTGAGATGGGTCAGATGCAAACAGGACCTTTCCAGGTCACTTCTCCCTGAGCTGTCCTTTTTCCCACAGTCCCCATCCCATGCTCCCCTCACCCGACATCCCTAGTCTGCACAAGATCCATCTCTTTCAGAGGAACCAAGACCCAGACAGCGAGGCCCAGAATCCCAGCACCTCCCTGGGATGCTCTCCTGCCAAGAGGATCTGCACAGTGCTGGGGCTTCTGACCACCCCAAGACAGGGAGGCGAGAGAAGCCTGTGGGGCTCCTAGTGGGAGGCTTGAGCATGGGGTGAAGGCCCCTCCCCGTTCCACTCATGGGCTGAGGTCTGCCCATGGCCCCGGCCCTGCATCTGTCTGTGCCACCATCCAGGGTGTGGCTGTGAATCCCAGAGGGACCTCCAGTCCGGGCTCCATGGGAACAACAGCTGCAGACCTGGTGGGGCGAGAGAGGGAGAGAAGAAGGTCGGGGAGGAAGGCTGGCTGCCAAAGGACACGAAGCCACTTCTCTCTACCCGGTCAGCTTGGGTTACTGGGGTGGGCTATGTACCTCAGAAAGCTGTATAGATGGGCCCTGGGGAGGAAGACCTGGACCCCAGCTCCCCATCCCTGTGGGGCTGCTAGCGGGGAGGCCAGACCCAGCCAGAGACCTACCGTAATTACGAGTATGCCAGGCCCTGAAGCCCCCGGGCTGGAGAGTGGAACTTGTCAGAATCCTCAAAAGACTGGTCTGCAGTAGTCAAGGAGAAAGGAGCCATAAGCCATGTGCCACCCGGGGAGCCACCTGCCTGTCACTCTCTGGGCTGGAGACAGCAGGCAGGCGATATAGCACTTTCTGAAGGCAGTCAGCCATCCCTAGCTCTGGCCGGGGGCAGCACTGCAGATCAGGGATGAGGGGTGCCTCTCAGATGCTCAGGGGATGCAGCCCACGCCCTTGCTCCCTACCTCCCTCAAGAGAGCGACAACCCCAGGCTCCTTCTCCCAGGGTGGCCTCCTCCAGAGGGCCCATCTGCTTCCTCAAGCACATGGACATGTACCAGGGCAGAAAAGGAAAAAGGCCAGCCTCTAGGAGTACTGATTGACATACCCACAGCAGCATCCTGTCTGCCTCCCCAACCTATGAAATTCATCACTCCACCACTCCCCACCCCTGCCTGACTCCCTCCCATGGTTCTCGTTGCTGGCAGGAGAAATTGGTGACCCTCTGTTCTCTCCATCCCTCACATTCTAAGCTCCAGACACACCTAAGAAAAAATACCCAAAACTTGGAAATAAGGCAAAAAAAGTGACTGTGTATCCTTTCAAAGTCAACCTAGAACATTATCAAATAAGCCCACCTTAAGAGTCATCTTATTCTGGGGCATGTGATGTCTTTTGACTTCATGCTACTGGCTAGGGCCCAGGCTTTGCTCTTTGGATGGATGTTCACTTGGAGGAGGCTGAGAAATGGCAGATGATTTCTCATTGGTAGAAAAGACAATCCCCAGAGGAAGGTTACAAGTTTATTGCTCTGTAGAAGCAGTTTGCAGCCAGCAATCTTATTTCAGCCCTCCTTGTTTTACTGGCTTCAGTCTCTCACCGTCTACTTTCAGCTGCTTTGTCATCCTGTTATGTCCCTCATTAATGAGTTAAATAAATTGTTGGCATATATTTGTATGTTATGTTTTTATGTATTTATGTATTTATTTATTTTTGAGACAGAGTCTTGCTCTGTTGTCCAGGCTAGCCAGACTGGAGTGCAATGGTGCAATCTCGGCTCACTGCAGCCTTGACCTCCTGGGCTCAAGTGATCCTCCCACCTCATCCTCCCAACTAGCTGGGACTACAGGTATGTGCCACCACACCCAGCTCATTTTTGTATTTTTTTTTTAGAGATGAGGTTTCGCCATGTTGCCCAGGCTGGTCTTGAATTCCTGACCTCGTGATCTGCCCACCTCGGCCTCCCAAAGTGCTAGGATTACAGGTGTGAGCCACTGTAATCGGCCATGTTAGGTTATTAATGTTTTGAACATGGGCTCCAAATCTCTGCCTTCCCACCCCCACACCTTCGGCCCGAGGTCTTCTCTATCTAGGGCATTCCTCCCCAACTAAGAACCCCTGCCTCCTTCTTCAAACCCTGCTTGGGCAAGTCCTTCCCTGAAGATGGGCTACCCTCTACCCTCTGGATGGGTCACCTAGCAGCTCCCTTGCACCGTCCCTGGCACAAAAGTCTGTTATTATTTGAGTCACCATCACAGGCCTGCCTGAGCTGTGCAGAGAAGGGTCCCTGGTGGGAAGGGGCCCCATTCTGTGTGCAGGGCAGGCATTAGCACAGTTCTCAGAAGTTTCTGGGCTGCACCTAGTTGCTCTGACTGCCCCCAGAACAGCTGATTCTGCGGGACACCGTGGACATGTATCATCCTCAGTTGTCCTCCTAGGCCCTGAGCTTTCCCACCCTCTTTCCAGTGTCTCCGGACTCTCATACAGGCACCCTGGAGCACAGAGGCTCCATAGAGCATTGTCCACAGCCCCCTCCCCTGCCTCAGCCTGGTGGCTGCCCCACCTGCCCCTGCCTTGGATTTGGAGATGGCTCTGGGGCCCAAGCCACTGGCCTTGCTCTTGTGACAGGCATCCCAGCCTGATCAGCCCCCACATCAGGCTGAGGAAACGATGAGGGTGTCTCTTCCTGCATTTCAAGGCCATTCCCCAGAAACTAATCTCAAGATGCTCTTAGAAAAATACATTTTTGTGCTCAAATATATTTGCATCTCCTGTTTCCTAGAAGGTTCACAATGTACCCTGGCACATGAAAGGCTCTGACAAATTCTTCAATAGCCACTTACGTAATTTCAACACTGATTCTTTTTTTTTTTTTTTTTTTTGAGACGGAGTCTCGCTCTGTTGCCCAGGCTGGAGTGCAGTGGCCGGATCTCAGCTCACTGCAAGCTCCGCCTCCCAGGTTCCCGCCATTCTCCTGCCTCAGCCTCCCGAGCAGCTGGGACTACAGGCACCCGCCACCTCGCCCGGCTAGCTTTTTGTATTTTTTTAGTAGAGACGGTGTTTCACCGTGTTAGCCAGGATGGTCTCGATCTCCTGACCTCGTGATCCGCCCATCTCGGCCTCCCAAAGTGCTGGGATTACAGGCTTGAGCCACCGCGCCCAGCCGTAATTTCAACACTGATTCTTTCCTAAGCTCTGTTGCTCTGACCCATTATTGCTTTGGGGAATACTCAATAGGCTGTGCTCTAACCCAACCTCTTCCAGATCAGTGCCCCACAAACTGCACTGCAGCCTTCTGTGTGGGTGTGAACGGTGCCCTTCTGACTCATATATTCATTCAATAATTCTACTATTTATTAAGCACCTGCTGTGTGCCAGATTGAGTCCTAGGGGATCCCGTGGAAGCATCCCTTAGCCGGATAAGAAAACACCTGTAAGCCTCTTACGGAAGACAGTGGCCCTGGCCCCCACTACCCCCATACACAAAGACCTGTTCCGCCCCACCCACATCCTGTTGCCTCCTCCTTTTCCACAGCCAGTCCCTTCCTCTGTCCTCCCAGTGAGTTTCCAATCACCACTTGGATAGAAAAGGTTCTACTGGTTCAAAGGTTCTGCTGCACGTGAGTAAAGTGAGGCAACAGCCATTTCAGGAATGGGATGTGGGAAGATGACTTGGTCTCAAGTCCTAATCTGTAAAATGTGGGGAGGGAAGCTGGGCTAAGCCTCGTCTAAGGTCAGTCCCCTTCCATTGTCAGCGACCCAGTGCCTCACAGTGGTGTGTGCTACCCTCTGGTGGACACAGGGAGGCACAGGTACAGGCGTGCAGCCCACCAGCTCCGAGGGTCTTTGCTCTGGGCTCAGCTGGATGGGGATGGGGTGTTGGGGTAATTTCTAGACCTCATCAATTGTGATTTGAGTCTCTTTCCCTTGGCCAAGTGGTCAACTGAGGGCATCCAGAGTGGCGACCATCCCAGGCTGGGAGGCCAGGGGAGTGGGGGCCAGAAGGACCTCCCTGGACCCTAGCAGAGCTCCCTGCTCTCCGTCCTCCAAGAAGAGCTGGTCAGCCAGCATGAGGCACTGGTGAGATGCGGATGGAGTGGGCCCCTCTTGCCCAGCTGCTCCACAAGGGCCCCTCCTTCCTGCCACAGTGAGGGAGGGTGGATCACTCACCTGGAAGCCCCTCTCCGTGGGCTCTGGGGCAGGCCTGGGGTGGGGAGCTCGGGGGGCGCAGCACGGGGGCGAAGGCGCTCCTCTGTTTGACGGCGGAGATCATGTTGACAGGCGAGAAGGAGAAGACGCTGGTGGTGGGGGCAGCGGCCGGGAGGGACATGGAGGAGGCAGCCGCCAGCGGGGGGCTAGAGGGCATGACTCCGGGGCGGGGCGGGGAGGGGCAGGCGCAGCAGGGAAGGCGGTGGGAGACACAACAGGGAGACAGCACCAGAGTGAGCAGCTTGGCTGGGGCCCCACGTGGGCTGCTGACCCAGGTACCAGGCTCAGACCTCACTGGGAGCTGTGAGGGTCCTGGGCTAGCCCTGCCTTCTCAAGGGTTCTGAAGACCTTTTCTTGGGGCTGGGGATGACAGGGCCAGACCAGGTAAAGACAAAAGCAAAACCAGAACATTCAATAAAACCAAACAGTGGGAGGTAACCCCCAAAAATGAGATGAGCAACAGCTGGACTACGTCAGGATTTCTGCTGAAAACCCCAGGGATTCTGAGGAAACATTTATGAGCCTTGGGGTGACAAGGCTAGAGTCATAGTTCAGGAGTCACAGAAGAGCTGGACCAAGTAGTCAGGGATGAAGTTTGGGGGAACACACAAGCTTCTGTTATAAGCCTCTCTGTCCAACATCACAAACAGCATTCCAACTTCCTCCTCAAATATGCTCTCCTTGCCAATGTCCCCTATGTTCCTCTGTCCCTCTCCCACCTCCCCCTGCACCTTGGGGCACTTTGTTTCCTTACAGCTTAATGCAGGTCCTTGTCATTTCCAGCCTGGGCCCGGTGGGGGGTCTCCTGAATCTCCCACTTCCAGCTGGTCAATTTAAAGCAAAGTGCAGGGATCTACATCCTCAGATCTTCCTGTTCCCAAACTCCCCAGCCACCCAGGCTGTGGCTTGCCCTCCTGGGAATGGCAAGGGAGCCTCCTGCACACAGGCTTTGCCTGCCCCCTCTTCCTGCAGCCTCCTCTCCTGGGGGCTCAGGGCCAGGGCATCGCTGGATCCCACCTTTCTACATTCTCATCTGAACCCAATTCCCTGCCTCTCTCCTGTAAAGACCGGTAAGGCTGTGATTTGAGTATTATCCAGGCAGCAGGTAGTGGGGTTGGTGGGGCTTCCTGGAAGAAAGCAATAGCCTGAGAAGGCTGCTTTTGGCATCAGAGGACCCTCCTACTTCCCTTGATACAATAATGCCTTCAACAGCTGCCCCTCTTCCAAATGTCCTCAGCCTCATCTCCTTTAAGACAATAGTTACTGCCAGCTGGAGAGGCCCCCAGAGCCTGATGAAGGGCTTGAGACCAATGCCAGAAAATGTACTATAGCTCTTAATGCCCAGGGCTCACAGCTGCATTTTGCACCTTGGGTAGGTAGTGTGGGGAGTTTCGAGTCATTCCAGGGTTGCTGGTGGCTGAAGCAGAAGAACAAAGAGAGACCCAAGCAAACAGCCCCTGAGTCTCTGGCTGGGACAGTTCTGATGTCATTCCAGGAAGGTTCTGGCAAACTCAATGAGAATGACATCCCTTGGAGTTGGGCTACAAAGCACCTTGAACATGGGGGGTGGAAGGGTAAGCCTTCGTCAAGACAGTATCATGAAATGGGACCAACCCTCCCTCAAGTCCAGTGTGTCTCCAGCTGATGCTGGGTTTAAGCAGCTCTAGGATTCTTGATCTTCTTGCTGAATCGGAAGACCCCAGGTGGGCTGGCTTCTTCACACTGCGGCAGTGTGTTCCTCTACTGGTGACCACAGTGTATGTGCGGGAAGGAACTGATGTTCCAGGCCCCACTAGTGTTGGCCCAAGGGGGCGCCCCCAGAGAGGTTGTGAGGGTACTGCCCCAGAACTGAAGGGAAGGAGGAGCAGTCAAGCCTGGCCTGAGCAAAGAGCCAGGAGAGGCAGGGGCCTTGGGAGGGACGCCAGAGGGCCATGGCCTATGTGGACTCTGGCTTTTGGGGCCTTGGGTCCCAGAAGTTGAGCCCAGGCCAGAGAGGGCCAAGATCAAGCCTTCAGCCAGAAACAGCAGCAGGCAGGACACATGCCCTGCAAGGGAAGCCAGGCTGGTGGATAGACAGTGCAGTCTCGGCAATGGCAAATACGGGACATGGAGAGGGGAGGGCACCACGGGCAAAGCCATGACCAGTTCCTTCTGGGACAGCCTTCACCACTTCTCCAGCTCTCCAGAGTCGCCTGGGACTTCAGAGACAACCTCTCTTATGATTGATAGGGAGGCTTCTTGCACGTGACAGGAGTCGGGGGATCCCCCAAGCCCTGGGCTTTGCATACAGTGGGCGCTTTATAAATGTCTGCTGAATAGCTAAGCTAAAAAGACCTGTGAACTTGCTGATCTGGAACTTGATGTTGGAAGAGTCTTGAGGGCAGTGTAAAATGACAAGGCATCAAAGCCGTTCGGAATGTCACTCACTCATGACACGCAGGCATTGCCCGTCCACCCAGCTCTGAGCTCCCCACTCTAAGAAGCCAGATGGGACGTGGTCAGCGCCCACAGTCAGGGCTGGGTCTCCGAAATCAAACACTGGCCCTTTAGGCACAGTGGCACATTCAGATCCGAAATCAACCTTTAGCAGGGGGTGGAATTGACCCTATTTGACTGCGAGGAAACAAGTTGAAATAACTTGCTGAACGCCCGGCAGCTCCTGATTTGGCCACTGAAACTCAAATTCTGTCTGATCACACAGAATTCGCTCGCTCTGCCAGACGACATCGCAGGGACCACATCCTCCCCACGTCCACCCGGCCTCTGGAGTCCTGGGGGCTGGGGGCGGCTGGAACCTGGCTTCCCTCGAGCCCTGAATTTCCTTAGGCTTCCGGCAGGCGGCGCCAGCCTCCTCCCCAAGTCCCAGCGCGAGATGGGAAGGGGGCGGTGTCCCAGGTTTCAGATGGACGCCCGCCTCCCTTAAAGCCCACTTCATGGGGACTGGAGGCCTAGAAGCGATGTGCATAACGGATCCGCAAAAAAGGCTAAAGTACTCTGGCCCCAGGACCCCGGGATGTGCAGCCTAGGGGTGGGGTTGAGGTCCCGCGGTAGGGGAGGTCCTAGGCGGGGACGGTGGGCCTGGCCCCGAGGGCTGAGCCAGGGTCGACTCTCACGGCGCCCGCGCCTCAACCCCTCCGGGATGGGCGGGGGCGGGGCTGAGCCCCGTTCCGCTCCCCGGCCCCAGCCCTTCCCTTGCCGGCGGGGGACACTCACTGGCGAAGGGTGAGGTGGCGGTGGAGCCATTGAGGAAGCTGGGGGACCCAGGCACGCCGAGGCCGGCCACTCCTGGCGCTCCGTAGCCACCCAGGCCAGCTCCGAGGCCGCTGCCGTAGCCGCTCTGCTGCGAGCCGGGGCTGGGCGCGAACCCGCGGGGAGACGCGCTGCTGCAGCTGCGCGCGTAGCCTGCCAGAGAGAGCGCGGCCGTCAGGGGGCGGCGCCGGCCGGGGGAGGGGCGGTGGCGGGGCCTGAGGACCGCGGGAAGGCGCGGCGCACGCACCCGGCTCGGGCCCCGGGGTGGCGTCCCCGACGGCGATGGCCAGCGGGCTGCTGAAGGCATTGATGCCCACGACGGCGGGGTGCGGGTGGCTTGGGGCCAGGGGTCCGAGCGGCCCGGGTGCGCGGGGGGTGCTGTACAGAGCCTCGGCCACGTCCGCCGCGCGCTTCAGGAGGAGCTCCTGCGAAGACAAGAGGGAGGTACGGCCGAGACAACCGCGGGCGCCGCGTGCTGGCGAGCCCCGGGCCCGGCGGCGCTAGGAGGGCGAAGGCGCCATACCTGGTTACTGCCGGGCACTCCGTACAGGGCCTCTGCCAAGTCGGCCGCCCGCTTCAGCAGCACTTCCTGGGGACAGGGGGAGACAGCGGGACGGAGGGGCAGCCCCTGGGGGCGACGAAGGGGCCCTCGGGAGCCCCTCCTCACTCCCTTGCCCGCAGGACACCCTCAGCCCCGCCCCACCCCTCTGAGTACCTTGGGCAGCCTCTCGGGGTCTCCGGGGTGTCTGGGAATGACTTTCTGTAGCCTCTGGAATCCGTAGTCAATGGTGGGCTCGTTCAGAGCTGGGGAGGGGGGCGTCGTTTGGAGGACGTCTCCCCCGCAGCCCCCGACTCCCAGGGTGAGACGCAGGGCGCCAAAAGCAGGCCAGCGCCCAGTCCAGGAGCCTCGCTGCAGCCCCCTCCACCAGGCCCAGCCCAAGTCCCCCGGAAAACTCCAGGCACGCCCGGCAGCGAGGTTCGGGAAAGTTTCAGTTCCTTCGTTTGTTCATTCAACAAATATTTACTGGGCCAGGCTCTGTCCTCTGCCCTAGGCGCTTGGCATGAACACACCGGCACCCATTTGTGATTAGAAAAAAGGGAAACTGGCCAGGCGCGGTGGCTCAAGCCTGTAATCCCAGCACTTTGGAAGGCCGAGACGGGCGGATCACGAGGTCAGGAGATCGAGACCATCCTGACTAACACGGTGAAACCCCGTCTCTACTAAAAAATACAAAAAACTAGCCGGGCGAGGTGGCGGGCGCCTGTAGTCCCAGCTACTCGGGAGGCTGAGGCAGGAGAATGGTGTAAACCCAGGAGGCGGAGTTTGCAGTGAGCTGAGATCCGGCCACTGCAGTCCAGCCTGGGAGACAGAGCGAGACTCTGTCTCAAAAAAAAAAAAAAAAAAAAAAAGGGAAACTCTATACATATATGAGTTATAGTCCTAAGGACAGGACTCGATGGAGAGTTTTCTCTTTCCATCTGGTCAAATCAGGAGTTTATTATAAAAAAAGAAAAAACAATCTCCATTTATCACGGCTCAAGTGGACTCTCTGCAGCATCTGAGGGCTAGAGGTTTGCATGCACCCCAGGGAAGCAACTGGAGAAGTGGGTGGCTTGGGCTGGGGCGGATGGAGTGGAGAAGATCCGGCCAGCGGCCAGATTCTACATTGCATCTCCACGTGTGTTGTGTTCACTGCTTACCCTGGCGTTGCGCAAGGGGTGTGTGTGTATGCGCGTCTGACCCAGTTCCCCACGCCCTTCTCCTTCTCCTTCCCCTTTTCCTGTTCCCTGCACCCTCCTTTTCGGATAGCCTGGCCCCGACCTACTCCACCAGTCTCAAAGCCCTACCTTCACCTGTAATTCTGACTTAGTGAATTTCCTTTAGTTTCCCGGCAAAGAAAAAGCACTCACTTCTGGGGCTCGGTCCTTGTCATTCCTTCTCCTGCAACTACCCTTCCTTCCCCCAGGTCAACCTCCCCACTAAGCCCTCGGGTTTCGGCTCAGTCGGGCTCAGCAGACACTCCCTACCAGAGGTTTTCCTTGATTGTCAGCCCCTTGACGGTGTGACCCCACCACCCCACGCGGTTCTCTGTTCAGCCTTTCCGGGTTAGACTGGAGCTCCCTGAGGGTAAGTAGGGTCACTACCGAGTGTCTCTCGAAGGGCTCGGTGAGCATCGGTGCAGGGGGCGGCGCGATGGTGGGGACTGCAGTGGGCTGGAGAGAAGTGGGTGGCTTAGCTGGGGCGGGGCGGGAAGATGGAAATGGGGAAGACTCGGTCAGCGGCCAAATAAAGCCAGGCTGGGGGGTTCTACACTGCCTCTCCACGTGTGTTCACTTCTCGCCCTGGCATCGTGCAAGGGGTGTGTATGTACGCATGTGTGTGTGCGTGTACATGCAGAGTGAGGCCTGGGGTAGTGTGGGGGAACCAAGAGACCCAGAAAAGATTCAAAAGATTCGGGGAGCAGCGATCCCATTGGCATCTTTGAAATAAACATCCCTTTGGAGAGGCCCTAAACCCTGGAGGGTCTGCGGGCGGGAGACACAGTGTTCAGGAGGTGAGATGGCCAAGGGAGAAAGAATGTTGGTTGTGGGGGGGACTTTGCCCCGGGGAAGGGACTAAGGAGCCAGAAGCCAGGGAGGGAAACACACAGAGCCACGGAAAGACGGTCCTGCGAGCGGAGCGATCACAGGCATAGATGGGTGACGGTGGCCCGACGTCGCCTGGGGGTGCGGCCACAGCGTAGAGCTCAGCTAACTCCTAACTCCAAGAACGGAGATCAGTGCGCGGGGTGGGGCTCCCTCCTTGCACCTTAGACCTCCCCTCCCCCTCCCGACTCCTTACCTGTGTAGACAAAGCGGCCGGGTGCTCCCTTGCAAAACTGCTTGGACTTGTAGGAGAGGGTCACCTCCACCACCCCGGGGATGTGCCGCGGGGGCGTCTGCACCCGGATGGCGTGGGGCGTGATGAGCTGCGAGGGGATAGGGGAGGCCTGCAGGTCCCGCACCGGCCAGGGGAGGGCCCAGCCCCCAGGCCCAGGGGGAGACTGGCGGGGTTGGCCCACCTCGCTCCACACGAGCACGTTTCCGAACACGACCTGCAACCCGTCGAAGAAGTTGTCGCCGATGACAATGACGGTGGCGCCGCCCGTGGTCCAGCCCTCCCCGGGGCTGATGGCCTTGATGCAGGGGGTGGCAGCTGGGAGGCAGGAGAGGACCCAGGTCAGGGGACCGCGCTGAGGTGGGGCCTGGGGACTGGCTGGGCCCGCGGCGGCCGGGGCTGGGCCGGGGTCCTGACCTTCGGAGGGGTCCAGGCGGCGCGCCCTGCGGCCATGCTTGGAGTTGTTGTGCACAAACATGTTGTCAGACACGGCCAGCACGTGTCCGTCCACGCTCACCGTCGTGGACACCACCACCTGCGGGGAGAGCCGAGGCCAGCCTGGCTGGGGCCCTCGGGGGCTCCCGGGAGGGGAATGTGGTGGGGAACCAGCACCTTGAGGCTGGTGGCTGGATGCTGGAATTTAGGGTCACTGGTGGGAGGAGGAGGGCTTCAGTCCTGCAGTGTCTGAGCTGGTGGAAGGGGGCCAGCTGGATCAGGTGACACCCCCAGATGAACTGACTCCCCAGAAGCTACAAAAATAAAGACCCCTGAAAAAACTGGCTCCTTGGGCAAAGAATGGCTACTGTTTTTGCATACACAGAATGCTGGGCTGTATCCACGGGCCTCCAAGGCAGGAATGGGGTCTTAGGCAAGCGGAGGGAGCAGCATCAGCCGGAGAACCCATCAGCAGGAGCCCCTGCCCTATTCTGGGGAGAAAACTGGGGCTGCCTTCTTCCCCCGCCCTGCACTGGGAGGGGTGTGCAGGCTGGGGATGTGCTAAGGGCAGCTGCTCTCCGCTTCACGCTATGCAAATTGCCTGGGTCGTTAATCATGTAAAAATGTCACAATTAGCATCTTCTTAAGTGGGACTCTAATGAAGCCTCCCTTGGCAGCCAGCATAAGTTGAGAAGGAGCTGCCCCACCCCCGGCAGGCACCAGGCTGGGGAGGCACAGGGCTGGGCAGAGGTCTGCCTTGGAGGCCTTTCCCAGGGTGGCAGGGTCACAGCCTTCCCTTCTCCCTCCCCTCCCCTCCATCAGGAAAGGGTGGGGTCGCAAGGGGAAACCCTTTCTCCAGACCCACCTGGAAGCGGCGCATGTCTCGGGGATTCCCCGCATTCTTCAGGCAGTTCTGGTTGCATTTGAGGAAGAACTTGAGGAAGAACCTGAAACAGTGTGGTCGGTGGGCTCAAGGGTCTGGGGGTTCTGGAAACAGGTGAAGATCCAACTGCTGCTTGCCATCCCCCCTCTCCGCAGGATGACTCCCCTCTTCCGGCTCCCACTTAGGCACACATCCCATATTCCCATCATGGTCTGCATATACCAGGGTGCCTGATACACACCAAACAGACCCATCGCAATGACAACTTCACTGCACAACCACACACACAGTGTACCGATCACACAGTGCTTATTTATGCCACAAAGTTTGTATTTAGCACTACCACACAGCATATATTCATCATAAAGAGTAAGCCCGTTATATACACCACATATACCTACTACTCATTATACCCAACACTGTATACCCATCACACATACAACATATGCTCCGTATGTGATGTGTATGCACACTTACCCAATGTAACTGTATCACACACAGTGTATATGTCACAGTATATGCTCATCACCCATATAGTACTTCTGTCACACAACACATCCCTCCCCGGAGTATACCCATCACCACACGATGTACACTCCTCAGACACAGCACATTCTTTGTAGGCACTGTTTATGCCTTGTATACTAATACTCACAAAATACAGCCATCACACACTCAGGGTATAACCTTCACACAAGCATAAGCGACATGTACTCCACGTATAGCCTGCACTCATCACACACACGGCATACTAATCAGACATAAAGCCCATACCCATCATGCACGGTGTATACCCGCCCTACGCAATATATGCACAGAGAAATAGGAAATACCCAGAACACATACATTAATACACATTTTATGCTGTAAATGATTACTCGAAATATAGTTATTGCAAATACTGTAGAGCCATACCATATAGCAGATGCCCCCAGCAAATTCACCTCCCACATGGCAGATCCTCTTCCTACACATTTTATATCCATTATACATGTAGGAAAACGTAATCACACAGAGCACATACCCACCATATACACATGGTGTATCTGTCAGACATGTGGTCCAGAGACACCGTGAATGTCTTCTTTTTTACATAGAGTTGTTGGGAAAAAAACACATATGCGCTGATGAGGCTGCTTTTTGGACAAACATGAGCACTTGGTCCTCCTCTCCTTCCTGGCAGTTGGCTGGGAGGGTGGGGCCTTGGTCCTGTTACCCACCAATAAGGTAGCCATGGACAATATTCTGGCTGTTGTACTCTTTTTTTTTTTAGTCCTGGTTTTTTTTGGTTTGTTTTTGTTTTTTGTTTTTGAGGTGGAGTCTCACTGTGTTGCCCAGGCTCACCATCTCTCACTACAACCTCCACCTCCCGGGTTCAAGCAATTCTCCCTGCCTCAGCCCTCAGCTTCCTGAGTAGCTTGGATTACAGGTGCCTGCCACCATGCCTGGCTAATTTTTGTAGTTTTTAGTAGAGATGGTGTTTTGCCATGTTGGCCAGGCTGGTCTCGAATTCCTGACCTCAGGTGATTCGCCCGCCTCGGCCTCCCAGAGTGTTGGGATTACAAGCGTGAGCCACTGCGCCCGGCCCTGTTGTACTCTTAGTAAACTTGGAATATGATCAGTATCTGCCTTATGCCTTACAGCACTCTGTGAGCATCTGGGACGATGCCCTTTACAAACTGTAGAGCGTGTGGCTAACGTCTGCAGTAGGTCCTGACATGTGGCACAGCCTCCTAGGCCACTGTATGAGCTTCTCAGTCAGCCAGCTTTCTCATTTTACCTCCACCCAATTGGGAGATATTTTTACCATACTATTTACTAGAGCAAATACAAGAATCCCAAACCTGGGGTGGAACTTTAACCACTGTATAGTTACTCCTGTACTGCTTATGTACCCCAAATTTGAATGTTCATTTAATTCACCAGAGTTGCCTCCAAAGTCTGCAAACATTAAATTCCTGGTTCAGAGGAAGATTTGTTACAGGCCCTGAAAGCCTAGTCCCCAAAAAGGAGGTCCCCAAGTCCTGGGAGGAGTAAGGACCAGTCCTGGAACTGAGGTGTCCTCAGCGGGCAGCCCCTCCTTGGGAGATGGTGGCAGTCACCTTCCTGGAGATACCTCTCCCTGGGGTCCTGCCTCTGTCTACATTCTCAGCACTTTTCATGTTCCCTCACAGTAGGCACCCCTATATTTCCCAAATGGTGCATCCCTACAGTGCAGACAATCCATTTGCCCCTACAGGATACCCTGCAGTGCACACAGCTATTATGCCCCCAAACAGTAGTCGCCAATATGTAGTCACCATATATACTCCTATGGGTCACCCCGAGGTGCAGACACCTCCAGTGCTCCTGAGAGGTATACCTGCACAGTGGACGCACTCCATTTCTCTCTCATTAGTTACTATGGTAATCACTCCCTACACCCCTTATGACACCCCATGGTGTAAACACACTACACCCACATGTGCAACATGTTCCTCATCCATGCCCCACATTCACATGTGACAGCATATAGACTCTCTACTCACACACACAGTGCAGACCAGTTCATTTAAATTAAGTACTGGTGTGCTCGGTCCTTTGGCAGGTGCTAGATGGAGGAAAAAACACCAGGATGGCTCATGGTCTCTGTCCTAAAGGGACTGAAGGCTCACCTTTGGATACCACTGAAGATGCGACAAGCATAGGACTGCACCAGAAGATGACACATGTGCCCACTGCACCCCACACCACTCAAAACTACAGAATCAAGAGGAAGGGTCCTTGGGAAGGGGCCAAGATAGGGGCTCTGGCCAGGCCTGGACTCTCTGTGTGACCTGGGGTAGGTAAATCCTTCCACACCCATGAAGGGAGAGTAGCGATTGAAGGCTGCCATGACACCTTCTAGTCCTGCCTCTGGGACATCCTTTATTTCCACCCTCCCCAAGGCTGTGGTTTCCTGCTCCCTCACTGGCCCTTCCCCAAGCCTTTGCTCAGCAGGTTTTCCCACTCCCACTATCCCTTTCCAGTACAGGTTTCATTTGTCCTTTGGGTCCACACCAATTCTCACACCCTGCCAGCCACCATTTTCTGGCCACTCTAGGTTTCAAGGACCACCCCTCCCTGAGAGCCCTAGGGCCCTGCCAGCACCTCTGTCTGTGGGGACACTTCAGTATTTAAGCCTGGCTAGCATTACCTGCAGAGTGTGGGTGAGTAAAAGCAGCTGCACAAGGCCATGGCCTGCTGTGGGAGCTGAGGGTCAGTCCTCTTCTCCCTTCCCTCTGGGCCTGTCCTCAGAGCTAGCACATAGTCGAAGCCATCCATGGTGTGGCTGAAACCTCACTCCCTTCCAGCTGGTAGTCCACGAGGCTGCTCCCAGTCAAAGCCTGCACCACCCCCCAAGACCAGCAGTGTCAGTGTCACCTGAGACCTTGCTACAAATGTAGAATCTCAGCCCCCACCTCAGACCTGCTGAGTCAGAGTCACATATCTGCGTTCATACACCCTCCAGGTGATGCTGGTGCACGCTGAAGTTTGAGAACCACTGCACTGGAGCTGCGCTACCCATTACTACAGCCGCCAGCCCCATGTGGCATGAACCCTGCAGCGTGGCTAGTCCGAACTTGAGATGTGCTGTAAGTGTAAAATACCCATTAGATTTCCAAGACTTAGAAAAAAAAAAGAATATAAAATAATTCATCAGTAATCTTTTATGTTGATTTCATGTGGAAATGCTCATCTTTTAGATATATTGGGTTAAATAAAATGTATTATGATAATTAGTTGTATCAGTTTCCTGTGGCTACTGGAAAATTTAACATTACATATGTGACTTGAGGCCCTGCTCGGTGGCTCATGCCTGTAATCCCAGCATTTTGGGAGGCCGAGGTGGGTGGATCGCTTGAGGCCAGGAGTTTGAAACTAGCCTGGCCAATACTGCGAAACTCCATCTCTACTAAAAATATCGAAATTAGCTAGGAGAGGTGGTGCATGCCTGTAGTCCCAGCTACTCGGGAGGCTGAGGCATAAGAATTGCTTGAACGGGGGAGGTGGAGGTTGCAGTGAGCCAAGATTGCACCACTACACTCCAGCCTGGGTGACAGAGTGAGACCCTGTCTCAAAAAAAAAAAAAAAAAAAAAAGAAAAAAGAAAAAAAAAGCATATTTACATATGTGACTTGCATTATATTAATATTGGACAATGCTTCTCTGGAGTGTATGTCTCTAGGAGAAAGTGACTCACATTTACTATTGATTGATTGGAGCACAGACTGTAAAGTTAAGTGCTAATTTGTAGAAAACTGATAAGATACAAATGATATTTGTCAGTGGGAGCTAAAAACTTTGATGACCTGGAGGTAGAGCACGGAAAGATAGATAATAGAGACTGGGAAGGGTGAGTTGGGGGGCGGGAAGTGAAGAGAAGTGGGTTATAGGGTACAAACAAACAGCAAGATAGAAGGAATAAACTTCATGTTTGATAGCAGAGTAGGGTGACTATACTTAGCCAAAATGTATTGTACCTGCACGATGGACACCCTAAATATCCGGATTGGATCACCACACATGTATACTTTCACTTGTACCCTGCGAATTTATACTCCCCCAAATTTATATGACTTGGAAACAAATGATATTTGTCAGGAGAAGTAAATACTTTCTGTTTGGTGGAGAAATAAGCCCTAAAGATGATAAAATTGTCCTACGGACATTAACTTTGTATCTAATTTGGAAATCTTATTCCAGTATTTTTCACACAATCCCTTGCCTCTCCTTCCCTCCCTTCCAGTCCTTTCCATATACGCACACACACTCACACACTCACACATATTTCAGTCGGTTTCTCTTCGTCTTCTTTGAATCAGCTTTGTCATCCCATTGGTTTCCTCATCAATAAGTTATAGAAAACTTCGACACATGCTCAGTAGCAATTTGTATGAGACTCATGCTTTTGACATTTTGAAGACTGTGCTTTGGCAAAGGTGACCGGCCCCCGAAGGCTCCTGCCTTCCAAGGCTGGACCTGGAATTAGAGGACTTCCGCTGGGGTCTAGAACCAGGAGCAGTGCCCCCTCCTCTCCCCTGGA